ACATGACATTAACTGAACATATTCAAGTCAACAACCAAACAGGTCAGTGAATCCATCAATTACACATTTTTTGAACAAAGTAGCGACCATCTCTTTTTTAAGGTCAAGACCCGGTGCACTATATATTTTCAGCACATATTCCACTGTGTTAACAATGTAGAACATATTTTATTAGACCTTTATTAAAAGGTGAATACCACAAAGTAGGAAGCATAAAACACTAAAAATTATATCCGACAAAAAAAGGCTAGGTTAGGCAGCTATTCCCTCAAACAAGCATCAAATATTGGTGGAGAAAAGTGGTAAACTCTTTCTTAAAAATAAATATCAGTACCAGTTATTTAACCAATTAAATGAACAAGAATGTTAAAAAAATATCTTGCAGTTGCAGAATTCAGTTACCTCCTCCCGTGAGATTGTCATCCTGTACCTGATGTCCTTTGTCACTTTTTTTTGTATAATTCAAAACTTTCTTAAAACCACTATGCTGCAATCCCAGAGACATAATGTAATACAGTTCAGCAAAAAAGAAAAGAGGAAAAATCTCAACTTACAATGGATTAATCACAGGGTAACTAAGCAACAGTTCCCCTATTTGGTTTCCCCACAAGATTAAGTGAGTTTACTTGATCAAGGGGATTATCCTCCAAAAGGCTTGTGTAAGCCTTTTCTGCCAATTCCCAGGACCCTTTTGCTTCATGCAACATTGCCTCCAGCCTACTTGCAATAATTAGCCAACACAAATATTATATAGCTTTAAAACTAAAACAGCTTCGTTCAAAATAAAGAAAAGAAACTTATAATCTCTTTCACACAGACACAGAGCAAAACAAAACTAAAGAGCTCACCTTTTCCTTAATCAAGGCATCATATATGGTGGGATCCAACTTAAGTTGCTTGACTTGAAAAGGAGAATAATTTTATTATTATTATTCATACATATTACATTTTCCTTATACCTATTTGTAACAATCTAATCTTCTAAAATAAGGAAATAAGAAAAAATATTCTGAAAAATATCCTAGAAGATTCTATAGATATTTTCTCTAATTAGGAAGATATTTCCTCTAATTACAACACTCCCCCTCAAGTTGGTAAATGAATATCAATCATTCCCAACTTGCCTACAAGATCTTGAAATCTACCCGGAGGGAGCCCTTTTGTAAAAATATCTGCTATCTGAAGTTCTGTAGGAACATGAGTTGTAATCACAAAGCCTCTGTCTAGATTATCTTTGATGAAATGTCTGTCAATCTCAATATGTTTGGTCCTATCATGTTGTACTGGATTATGGGCAATGCTCATGGCAGACTTATTGTCACAGTATAGTTGCACGGGGTTGTCCACCTTGATTTTAAGGTCATCCAAAATGATTTTCATCCAGAGTCCTTCACACATTCCTTGAGCAAGGGCTCGGAATTCAGCTTCTGCACTAGAACGAGATACTCTATCTTGCTTTTTGCTCCTCCACGTTACGAGACTATCTCCAAGAAACATACAATACCCAGAAGTAGATTTTCTGTCAGTAATAGAACCTGCATAGTCAGCATCAGTATATATTTTCATAGTCAATGTATCTTCCCTTTTGAACAATAACCCCTTTCCTGGACTTGACTTCAAGTACTGGAGAATTTTGTCAACTGCTTGCATGTGTCTCTCTCTTGGATGATGCATAAATTGGCTCACAACACTAACTGCATAAGCAATGTCTGGTCTTGTGTGTGATAGATAAATCAATTTCCCTACCAATCTCTGATATTGGGCCTTCTCTACAGGAGAACTTTCTTCACTTCCAATTCTGTGATTTTGTTCTATAGGAACTATTGAGGTTCTACATCCCAGCTTCCCTGTTTCTTTTTGAGGAGATCAAGTACATATTTCCTTTGGGAGATGAACCAGACATACACAACCAAATGCACATACATCTAAACACGTAAACACATACATAGACACAAACTCACAAACACACACAAAATATATACAAAGACACAGACATACACGCATACAAATAAACACAAACAAAAATCCACTCACAAATAAACACACAGATACATTCACACACATACACAGATAAGAACACACATGCAAATAGACACAGACAAAGACACGCAATCATACACACACATAAACATAGAGAAACACACACAAACACACAGACAAACACAACCACACATAAATACACACACAAAAATCCATACACACAAATGCACATACATCCAGACACACACACACACAAAGACACAGACAAGCACACAACACATAGACACGGACACAGAGTCACGAACACACACAAATAGACACCCAGACAAACTTCTTTTGATTTACGTTCCCTAGAAATTCTTCTAGGAGGAGGTTGATAAGTATCTTGCTATATTACTCTTTTTATTTACTCCTTATTTTTTCACTCAATTTTTCTTTTTGTTTAACCAATCAAATCTAAGTTTTTCATCAATTATAGTAAGTTGAGCATCCCTTTCAATTTTCACTTATTCTTTAGCTAGGCTCCCTTACTTTCTCCATAGTTTTAGTGATTGAAGTTTCTTCGTAACATGTGAAATACTTCTGGGAGGACTTGAATCACTACCACTATGTGAATGAGAATGACGACTCATGGTTGTACACACATATTAGTAAACAAAAGGCTTTGGAACTCTTGTTTACTAACTAATCAAGATCGAAAGCTATGGTAACATAAATTGACGTGAAAGCCTTAAAGAAACAAGTAAAGAAGCAATGTAAAGAATACAAACAAAGTGGAAGTCTTAAGGAGACACCTAGAGCCTCAATAAGACCACTTCCACAAGAATAAAAGGCCAAGTTTACACAAAAATGTGAACAATAAAAAAGGATACTATTCGTGAACTTTTCTCTCAAGTGTTTGCTCCCAAAGTATTTGGTGTAGCTCTTCAAGTCTCCAATTGTCAATTAATGAGTTGTTCCTCCTAGAACTAAAGCACTTCTAGAAAAGGCTAGCACACAAAAAGATAAAATTAGAATGGATCTAGAATGGATTAAGAAAACTAAAACAAAGGATTAAGTAAACAAAAACTATGATTACAAGTTGTTAAATCCAAGTGTTTAGTGATTTATCAAACAAGTTTTGAATTTTCTTCTTCTCTGAACTGGCTCACTCTTCATACATCCTCCTAACCATAGCTTTAGTCGTCGGTTCCTTAGCTAGGCTTTTGCCATCACACACACACATACATAAACATAGTCCCAAACACCTACAAATAAACATACATAGAGAAAAACACACACAGACAAAAATAAACACATATACATTAAAACACAGACACGCATACAAATAGACACTCAACACACTCAAATAGACACATAGAGACACAAAGACACACATAATCTCATAGACACATATAAACACAGACACACATTGACACACACAGACACAAACATATACACACAGACAAATACAAAGACACAAACCCAAACATGAACCATCACACACATACGTAGACACACATACACACAAACACACACAAACACATGCATAAATATAGACAAAGACACAAACAGACGCACGCACACAGGTAAATAAACACACAAAAATAGACAAAAAGACACACACACAAAAAGGCACACAGACAAACATAGTTTATCACACGCTCACTCACACTAACACAAAAAGAAACACACACACAAACACTAACATAGAGACACACAGACACACACACATAGACAAAGGCACAAAGATACACACAAACAACACTCACACAAACTTACTGACACACACAAACAACACTCACACAAACTCAGACACATCCCACATACAAACACAAACACACACACAGAGACACACAAATAACGCACACAAAAACACACGGACAAACAAACAAACACATGCATGAACAAAAACATGTGCTTGTCTGTGTCTTTGTGTGTGTGTGTGTCTGGATGTATGTGCATTTGTGTGTATGGATTTTTGTGTGTGTATTTATGTGTGGTTGTGTTTGTCTGTGTGTTTGTGTGTGTTTCTCTATGTTTATGTGTGTGTATGATTGCGTGTCTTTGTCTGTGTCTATTTGCATGTGTGTTCTTATCTGTGTATGTGTGTGAATGTATCTGTGTGTTTATTTGTGAGTGGATTTTTGTTTGTGTTTATTTGTATGCGTGTATGTCTGTGTCTTTGTATATATTTTGTGTGTGTTTGTGAGTTTGTGTCTATGTATGTGTTTACGTGTTTAGATGTATGTGCATTTGGTTGTGTATGTCTGGGTGTTTGTGTTTGTGTGTTTGTATTTTTGTTTTTGTGTGTGTGTTTCTCTATGTTTCTGTGTGTGTATCTGTGTCTGTCTGTTCGTGTGTCTTTGTCCATATGTATGTGTGTCTTTGTGTTTGTCTTTATTTGTATATGTGTGTATGTGTGTGTTTGTGTTTTTGTCTATGTTTTTAGCGGCAAGTGGGTCTCGTCGGAGCTAGGCGCGTGGGACATCACCGGAAAAGGAACAAAACTCAAAAACTCAGATATGCTCAAATATGTGCCAAATGGGACGTCACTGACCCGTGGAATGGACTCAGGAGGCTCTGGCGACTCTTTCTGTGGCAGCGGCGGCGAGTGGGTCTTGTCGGAGCTAGGCGCGTGGGCTACACGCGCCGGTGACTGTGGTGGCTCATGGCGGCGTATTTCCTGGAGCGAATTCCGACGTTGTGTTCGCCGGAGTTGGGTGCACCTTTCTGCTCTATCAACGACCCCAACGGCTACGGCGGG